TGACTGGAAAAGCTCAAGCATTTTCACTTTGACTGTCCCTCTACATCTTCACAACTTTCCTTTGTACACTCACTCTGACTAGACCGAGAGAGAAAGAGAGTACCTGAGGACAGAAGCTGTTCATTACCGAGTGCATCATCTCATTGCTGCTTCCCTCCCCGCAGCAGGCAGCAGAGCATATGCATGTAGCACTGCCTTAAAATGTGATTACCGATCTTACCACCCTTTACAGAAACCCTTCCCCTCACCCTAACAGGTCAAGTATTAAAAAGGCAGCCAGTGGGGGGGAGTGGGATACTCATTTCTTTTTAAGTTGCTTTTTTGGATTGGTATTAATTCCCAAAACTGCTGAAATATTTATAACTCTGATTAGAAATGATTTCATTATAGCATTTGTCACCAGACCATTCTCAAAAATACAACCATATAGATTCTTCTTTCCTCCTAGGCCCTGTAAGAATAAAAGGGGACACTAGATTCTCTGATAGTAGTTCCAAAAGCAGTACAGGAATTGATAATTTCAATATCAAACTTAGATCATGACATGATTCAGAATCAGTTCATGAGGCAATTACAGTTAGTTGTACTGGGGAGTTTTAGCACCTGAATTGAAAATTGTAAAGCTAATAATATGCCTTAAACATGTGCATTACCTTGGCTTGGTTAAAGCTGGCATGAATGATCATAACTCCCTAAATCACATGTGCTAAAATTACACCATAGTAACCTCTCTAAGGAAAAGATACGCTGATCTTCAGATGATTACGTTTCTATTAGTAGGCATTTTAGCTTCATGCTACAAATTGCTTCTATCCTTGGCAAACGCGGCAGATTTTGAAGCATAAGATATTAGAACTTCAATGGTATCATTTAGCACTGTAAAAGGTTGAAACCATTATCCATTGTTTTACAGAAACACATTGAGTGAACTGGATAGTCATGAGGAGCAGTTCTGCTAATGAGAATGCTGTTTTTCTATTTAAATGGAACATTTCTTGAGAAAATGAAGAAATTATGAACTTGTATCCACAGATGATCCCTGGTACATTCTAAAAGCCTTTTCTCTCTCTCTCAACTTTTTGGAAGTTAACATAATCAAGTGGAGAAGTGCTATTCATAGTTGCTGCACCTTGTGTTGTAGAAGTGATGGGGATAGGCCTTACCAGAGATCTACAGGATCTGTAGGCAGTGAGCATACCTGCCCTGGGAAATGCGCTGCAAGCAGGTGAACAGGCGTGTGATTGCCAGAAGTGGTCAACACCGGGCACATCACACGGTGTAGTGAGCTACTCTAAACAAGAGCTTCCTCCTATGCATGCATGGTTCAAAGGGAAGGGACCCCATTTCCTCTGAGCACCCAGCTCTAAGGCTTGAGAGTCTGCTTAGCACAGATGCGGACAGATGGAAGTAGAGAGGCAGGAGATAAACGCCCAGTCTGACAGCTGTGGAGACCCCATCTATCTTCTTCCTACTTGACACTCCTTCCCACCTGACTGATGAGGTTCAGCAGAGCAGACACCATGGGAGAAGCTGCCCAAGCCCAGAGGTCAGAAAAGCGAAGAACTGCTTCCATCTACAAAGTAGACAGGAATACCATTCAAAGGCCTTCTTTTTCCAGTTCAGAGATCAGGCACACTTCAATTTTCTTATGTAAATCTGTCCCAGAACATTTTAGAAAGAAAACTAATACTTGACATTTAGATTTTTACAAACCTCAAACCAGCAGCACTTGGAAAAATAAATAGATCAAGAGGCATGGGCATATTCAATTATTTTCACAACCTGAACTAAACAAATATCTTAGTGGGCAAAGAAAATGTCAAACATTTGTCAAAAAATTATTTTGTTCAATTATTTGACATGAAAGACTTGAGATAAAATGCAAAATGCTGAAAATATGTGCTTCTGATGCAGTTTCCTGTTAGATGTATTTATTCATGAATGACAAACCACTTTTGGTGGAAATGAACTTTTCTTAAATTTAAGTACTGCTTGATGACTGTGCTTACTTAACTAATATTTCACCTCATGAATGATATAATGAGATTCTAAATACTTCCATTATCCTTTCTCTTGATTTATAAAAATTTAAATTTTAGAGGCTAGTACAATGACTAATTGGCTAATTCTCTGCCTTCAAGTGCTAGCATCCCATGAGTGCAAGTTCAAATCCTGGCTACTCCACTTCCCATCCAGCTCCCTGCTTGTGGCTGGAAGAGCATCAGGATGGCCCAAAGCCTCAGGTCCCAGCACCCACATGGGAGACCTGGAAGAAGCTCCTAGCTTCAAATCAGCTTAGCTCCAGGCAGTGCAGTTATTTGGGGAGTGAGCCAGCAGATGGAGGTTCTTTCTCTCTGTGTCTCCTTCTGTGTAAATATGCCATTCCAATAAAATAAATCTTGTTTTTAATCTGAATTGTAAGAATGATTTCATTATTAGGTAATTTATAGTATCATATGTTTTCATCACATTTTCCCAACTTTCATGTATTAGGCTTGTGAGCATTTCAATATAGACTTCAAAAGATTGTTTCCAATTCAGTGGAAAGCAGTGCTTATAAAGTTTCCATTCTTTGGCCACAGGTAGTTCAATGTCAAAGAATTTCATCTCCTTGGAAACTGAGCATATCATTATTCATTCATTTATTCTCCATATTTTATTGGGTGACTATTGTGTGCAAGGTATTCTGTTATATGTGTAGAGATTATGAACCAAAGAGCTTTGATTAAATATTTGAAAATGCCTGAGGCGAACGTTATCAGAGCCTTCTCATGGCCTCCGAGTATAAACCGTGCACATTGTATTTGTTTTAGATTCTAGTCCTTGGAAAATAATGTGCCTTTTTCTCTTCTAAAAGAAAAAAAGAAATCCATTTAGGCCTTTAGGCACATCAGCTAACATCTCTGTTGGTGGTCCCGGGGCTCTCAAAGCTTGAGACAGGGGATGCATTCCTGTAAGGCCACCCATGACCCCTCCCCACCTCCAGGAATCTCCTTCCTAAAGCCACCAGGAAGCCTGGCTCTGCCAGAACCTGGCTTGCTTTGCGGGCTGTGTAAACAGCAGCCCAGGATGCCCGGCCCACTGGGACTCAGAACTGGAGCCAGCCAACATCCTGGGAAACAAAAAAGACTTGCCTGCCTGGTGTGCTACAGCCAAGAAATGCATAGCTGGGAAAGATCCTGCGTATTATCTAACTCAGTGTCCTCTTTATACAGACGATGAAAATGAGACCCAGGGAGGCAGGGGATTTGCACACATAAATCCCCGGTAACCAGGAGCTAAGATCAAAACACAGCTTTGTATCAGCGACTGGATCAGAGCCCCACTGCCCCACCCCACTCTTGAACAATTCTTATTATGCATTAGGCCCCAACTTGGTGGGTGGGGGAAGGAATCCCAATAATAGCTACTGGTGCCACACCAGCTAGGCATCACAAACACCAAGATATGTCTGAGAATTAGAGCAACATAAGTACCTGATTGTGCAATAATTCTAGAAGGAATTACCGATAAAACAGCACCAGAATTCTGCTTATCAGTACCTTCTGTACACTTGCCCATTCGTGTGTGAAATCCCCAACACAAAACACGGGGAGGTCCTGGTTCTGCTGCCCTTGGTGCAGATGGAGAGACAGAGAGAGAGAGAGAGAGAGAGAGAGAGAGAGACAGACAGACACACACACACACACACACACACACACACACACACGGCCTCTGGGGAAGACAATATCTACCCTTCTGTGTACAGCAGTCAGAGCATCTGGCACCAACCAGGAGGGGCGCTCGTGCAAAACTTTCCACTCGCCTTTGTGCGGGGGCTGCCTCGGGCGACCCTGTCACTCTAGTCCCTTCCTCCAGTTCTCTAATCGCCCGCGGCCCTCAGAGCAGCGCCTCAGGGTCAAACCAAAACTGAGGGAAGCTCCAGGAAACATCTCAAGAGGTCATTCCCAGCTGCCGCCAGGCGCGGCTCCACCGCGGGCCCCTCCCTCCAGACAGCAACACCTGCGAGTTGCCACTTGCTCGCTCTTCCTCGCTAGTTTCACCTTGGATTTGGTTCCGCTCATCAGCAGCCCAGCACCCTTGCTAAAATTCCACGCCCCTCATCGTTGACCAGGCCCACCCAAAACCCTTAACTGGGTAGGGAGCTGAAAGTCACCTCACCAACAGGGCACCTGATCCTCCTTCCCCGTCCCGCACCAAGCAGGTGGCTGGGCACATGGGGAGGCGCTAACCCAGCCTTGAACCGCAGACCCTTGAAAACAACCCACCGCGGCGCCAATAATTCAACAGGACGGGAAGGTCAAAGGCGAACGCTGTCGCCCGCGGCCCCGCAAGCAGCCGGAGGGTGATGCAATAGGGGTCAGACGGACCTCGATTGGTCAGGGAGGTAACAGCATGATCAATCGGAAGGCGGGCCCAAGAAGAAGGTCGGGGCAGGCGCGGGCGGTCCTCGTGGCCAGAGGATTCCTGGCAGCAGGCGTCGTGCGCGCCGGGGCTGCCTGCCTTGGCCTCACTCTCCCCTCAGCTCGGAATCCGCGCGCAACCGCGCTGCGGAGAGGCTTTTTCCCCCGTCCTCCCGCCTCCCACCCCGACTGCGCTCCCCGCCTCCTGGCCAACCCGCCCGCCGCCTGCAACGGGCGCCGGCCGCCAGCCGGGCGGTTCCTCCAGACGCACGCACAGGCTCGGCATCAGGCCGCCTTGGGCTCCCGGCGGGCAGACCACGCCAGGCCACCCGGTGACCAGCGGCTCGCACAGGAGGGTCACGCTGCGGGCGCACCGAGTCATCCAGTCCCCAGCGCCAACCGCTTTCCCCAAAGTCGTTCCCCGCCCTCAACCCCAGAAGCAGAGACCGTGGGAACCCCTTGACCAGGGCAAAGTTAATGGGTAGACGCAGCGGGCTTGCGGCGAGCGTGGTCCCCAGACCCACCACCGCCAGCGCCGTGCCGCCCCGGAGGAGCTAGGAGCCCGCCCCAAGCGCCACGCGGTCTAGTGACTCTTACCCGAAGTGTCCCACAGGCTCAACTCTATCCTTTGTGTGTCGATTTCAAAACTGGCCGTGTAATTCTCAAACACCGTGGGGACATAATTCTGGATAGAAAGAAAAGAAAGAGGGCAAAGCGGTTACCTTCAGATGCGTGGCACTCACTCAACACCCTCTGACGATCCCTCCCCACTTTTTTTTTTAAGGCACCTGGTGCCTGGCAGTCCTCTCCAGGCGCGCGCGGCTGCCGGCTTCCCGGACCCCGGCCCGCGCCCCCACGCACCGCAGCCCCCGGCCCCCGGCGCTGCTCGCAGACACCGACAACTTTGGCGAGAGACCCCGCCTGCTATGGGACCCTACTTGCTTCCAGCGCACTTTCCCTCTCCCGGCAGTGTAGGCAGGGGAAAGTAGTACAGCAGTGAGGAAGACGACTCTCCAACCAAGCGGAAAAACAGGCGGAGGGGGCCCGGCGAGGGCGAGCCCACCTCGCGAGCGGGGGTCCCGGGCTTGGGGGGCGGCCGCACTCACCTCGGGGAAGCAGTCCTTGGCGAAGACGTGCAGCAGCGCGGTTTTCCCACACTGGCTGTCTCCCACCACTACTATCTTGCACTTCACGTTCTGATTAGGATCCATGATAGATTTACTAGACAATTTCTGGCTGGCTCTTCTCTCCTTCATTGATGTTGCCTTATTTTCTCTTGTATAAAAATTTTCTCTTAAGAAGAAAAAATATATATTTCTTTCTAGGTTAAAAAAAAAAAGCAGGTATAAAAAAATAAATTGCAAGCCCGGTGGGATCCCCTGAAGCGCGGTGCAGCCGAGGAGGAGAGCGAGGGAGGCAGGCGTCTTGCTCCCCTCCAACAAGTTTGATGCCTGACTCCACACCGCGCCTCCCAAGTCCAATTCCGATCCGACTGCTTTGTTTCACGCTCTCTGCGCGGCTTTATACGCCTCTTCTTCCAATCCTCGTCTTTCTCAATGAGTGAAGGAAACTGATCCGCCTCCTCCCCTTTTATGGAGCCTGGGAGCCTGCAAGCTGAACGTGTAGGCGGTGCGCCCTCTAGGGGCAGCGTGGAGACCCCCGGCCCGAGAAATCAGGAGCAGGTGGGGAACCGTGGCTGTGGCCTTTTTCTAATCTTTTTGTAGAGGCTGATCTGCAGTGGCCTCACGAACGTTTCTGAAAACACTAAATCCCTCCCGACAAGTCAAAGCGTCCTTATAAAGCATAGGAAACAAACCATGGCTGGGCAAGGATTAAGTGTTTGCCTTTTTTTTTTAAGTATCAGGAGCATAGGCTATGGAACAATGGCTAAGCCAGGTTGTTTCTTGCCTGCCTCACAGTCCTAGAGCCTCTGTTGAAACCTGCCTGCTTCGGTCATCCTGGAGCCATTGGAAGGTTGGGAAGAGTGGGAAGAGGAGGCAGAAGGGTGAGGAAAGAGAGCTGGGAGATGCTCACAGCTGAGTGACAAACTCAACCCTACTGTCCCGGGGACACAAAGGAGAAACAGAGGCAGGTGCAGGTCACACTGCCGGCTCCCTAACGTGGAGATTGGGGTACAGTAGGGGGTTCTGATACTGCCTTTTAATCCCTTTTTAACTCCATTCCCCTGCACACAAAGCTCTCCAGGCTGAACTCAGAAGGGGCAAATATCCCTAGCCGAAAGTAGCAAATAAAATCCCTCAGCAGCTCTTCACCCTGCTCCACGTCCAGCTCTACCCCACACCCATCCCCCAGCCCTTTCCAGCCTTCCCCAACAGGAGTCTGAGAAAGGAACAAAAAGAGCCCACACACTTATTCACTTGTTTCACATGAGAAATAATTCTTCTTTTCTCATCTTTCTTTTTTGTCCACACGGTCAGGAAATTTCAATTATTCAATTGCAATGAAGGGGCGTTCCTTGTGACAGCGGAGGGTTGATGATTGCTGCTTGAGATGTTCATAACCTGTGTCACAATGTCTGGGATCACATCCCCTTGGTGCTTTCAATTCAGCTTCCTCCTAATGAGCCTAGGGGGCAGCAGATGGAGACCCAAGTACTTGGGCCCCTACTACCCGTGGGGGAAATCTGGATGGGGTTCCCAATTTTTATCCTCTGCCCGGACCAGGTTTTGCTGTTACAATCGTTTGAGGGAGTGCAACATTGGGAGGTTCTCATTCTCTTTCATTCTCTGTATCTCCTGTTTGAGCCTTGTGAAAAAAATAATTCAGTGCATCTTTTAAACCTTAGTAAGGATATCAGCCAAAACCAATTTATAGGGAGCCCTGTGGAGACTTATAAGCTTGCAAATGAGAAGGTGAGATAAAAGAGAAAGGAAGGAAGGAAGGAAAGAAGGAAGGAAAGAAAGAAAGAAAGAAAGAAAGAAAGAAAGAAAGAAAGAAAGAAAGAAAGAAAGAAAGAAAGAAAGAAAGAAAGAAAGAAAGAAAAAGAACCAGAAAGTTTTCATTGTGAAAAGGCATAATGAAGAGTGCCATAAATGGTGGGCAGCTGGGATCAGGAAGAATAGTAACTCATCTTCCTTTCAGAGCTGAATTTCCAACTGTGTCTCAGACTCAAGGTGTGGGTCTAGGTAGACACTGACCTAGAGTTCTCCCATGGAGAGTGGCTGACCATATTGAAGATCCTAGGGGAACACTTGCCAATGCCTGCCCTGCAAAGCTTTGCTCCCCTAATAGAATGCACCTTGTTCCAATTAGTGAGGGAGACATTGTATCTGTATCAACCTGGAAGACTGGTCAAGGACTTTGTGCATGACAGAAGCAAGAAAATTCTGTGAAAGGGAGTTTGTGTAACATCATTTAGCTTGGCATTTCCCAAGCCTACTCAAGCAAAGGAACCTTTGCATCTAATTATTTTCCACTTTGTCTATTCACTTATTTGAGAAATAATGAGCAGTGATTGGAGTAGCAGATTTGGAGGTATATTTTGATCCTGAATTTCACATTTTCTTGCTTCGTGGACTTGGGATAAATCATTTAATCTCTCTGAACCTTATTTCATTATCTGTAAAATAGGAGTATTTATGAGACTGCAAACTAAAGTCTTCAGAATAGATTCTTGCATAAAAAATTAGCTCTTCTTCAATTCTGCATATAGCTCCTACATGCACATCTGGCTTCATTAGTGGACTCACTAATTGGAACTGGGTCCATAATCTCTTTTTTCAGTTTTAAGTTAGGAAGATGCCACCTTCTTGAGATAGGATATTCCTTCCATATTCCTGATTTGATCGTTTATATATTTAAATCACTGTAGCTAGCAACATATATGGGTTATCTGATACATAAAATAGGCAATCATAATTTAAATTGAAATATGTTTTGGAACAAAAGGGGACACTTTCAATGAATACAGCTGAACATCAGTTAGAAATAGTATCTGTCCCAGGCACAGCTACAAGTGTTCTCACTTCATCAATGGATAATCAGAAATCATAGCAGATGACTTTCTTTTGCAATCAGGTAGCCTGAATCTCCAACAATCAACCAGCTGCAGAGCAAAATTTAGTGAGTATACACTAGGGCAATAAAACAACTTCCTCATGTTATCATCTTTGAGGTTTTCTGAGGCATGTATTCTTGCTTTTCTTCTTTTTTAATTCTCTAGTATTCAGTGGGTTGTGGCAATTTCTAATATTTTAAGATTCATGCATTATTTAGTTTAACAGTTATTTAAGAAGCACCTGCTCAATTCCAGATACTGTTCAAGAACCTGCAGACATAGCAATAAATGTGCCAGACCTTTACGCTGCTCTCACAGAGCATACATTTCAGAAAACAACCTGGGAGGAAACAGTAAATAAACAAGAACAAATATGCTCAGCCCTATTAGATAAAAATAAGGTGGCATGACACAGCATAGTAGAATATGGATTAGATGTGGCTATGCCTCTCCAAAGAGACTGAGTCCAATGATGAAGACACAGTCAGGCACGAGAAGGACCAACAGAGGGATTCTCCAGGCAAGGAACAGTGGAAGGGTTATGTGAATGGAAAGCATTTCAGCTGTGGAAAATCGAGGCCAGTTAAAGTGACTGAGGCCCAGTGAAGGAAGGAGAGTGTGGGTGGGAGAGAAAGAGCAAGCAGGCAGGATCTGAATCATTGATCCTGGAATTTGCATTTAATTCAGTGGGCTACATGAGCCCAGTCACAGGAGGACCTAGAGCACGGTCAATGCATGATCACATGAGTGAATGGATGAATTCAATTCTATGCCTGCACCTTTACTAACAGTACACGCTTGACGAAAACTATTCTTCAATGAGAATATGGGATCTAGATAAACTGTTATAGAATAGACTAAAAAGTCTGGATGGTAATGACAGGTTTTCTAAGAAATATATTATTTTGGAAGATGTGCAACCCCAATCTCTGAGCACTGAACCTCAAGTCAGAAACTTGAATTTTCATCCAGGCTAAACTAGGGCACTCTGACCTGGGCATGCACTGAACGGATAATTTTCCTCAGTCTCACTCCTACATGATGATGATAACATAGGCCTTTATTAAGTGTCACAATCAGACTCCTTAGAAAGTCACATGCATTTAAATATTACTTTTTTAAAAAACCTTCTTCACGGTACAGTTTTGTACGTATAGGAATTCCCCCTTTTCCCCTGTGTTACTCCCACTCCATTTGGTCCTATCACCATTTTCCTCCTTATTATTACAGTGGTATAATCCTTTAGTAACAGTTTCAAGTTTAACATTCTGATATTTAGTTGCATCCTGGAATTACAGGTATAGACAAAGGCAGAAAATGTAGCATCATGCTGCTAAGGTGTATTTAACTATCTCACTGTGCCTCCTCCTTTTTCTGGAAGAGATGCCTACTGCGACACACTTTCACTTCCAACATGCTAGTTGAATATTCTTCCTTAGAAATCTGCTATAGACACTTTCCTTTTTCAGGTTCTGTCCGCTAATGGAGGTGTCAGCTCACAGTGGAACACTGTAAAACATCATCATAATTGTTTAAGCACCTGCCTGTCTGTCGTTAGTGGACACTTGAAAGGCGTAAACACACAAAAGGAAAAAGCACAAGGTTTTCACAGGCATCATCGGTAGAATGAAAAAGAGACTGACACAAAAACAAATGAATATGCAGGAGGCCTGCATAGACATTATGTCAGAAAATATGGATATGAATCATGAGCAGGCCTTTTGAGAATGTAATACAGTAGTGGATACAAAGCAGTTTCAAGGGGCCTGGAAATGGGAAGTAACAAGCAATGTTGCTGCCTGGGATCCCATGTGGACCCTGGTTCAAGTTCTGATTGCTGTCCTTCGGGTTCAGCTCCCTGCTAATGAACCTGGATAAGCAGCAGAAGACGGCCCAGGTGCTTGTGGGGAACATGGAAGAAGCTCCAGGCTGCTGGATTGCACCTGACTTTGCCCTGGTCATTACACCTATTTGAGGAGTGACTGAGTGTATATTTCTTTGTCTCTTCTTGGATCTCTCTAACTCTTCAAATGAATAGTACATCCTTATAAAAATGAAATCATTTCAGATACATTTAGTTCAGGATAAGCTGAAGAATAATACTGTAAGCTTGTAAATTGAGCTGAAAAGTAGCAGTTCCATAGTTGTCTCTTTAGGATGGTGGAAAAACCTGATAATTCAGTTGGATTTGCATAACACCAACCAAGTAGGAGACACTTTCTTTTTTTGGAGAAAGAAGAATTGAGGAAAAAGTTTTCATAGCATTCAATGAATTAAAATTATTATGTGAGAAGAAATTACTTAGGAATCTTTATTTGCAATTGTTCTTTATTAAAACCATGCCTGTTTGTCCTGTTTAAAGGCATTGCAGCAAGTTGAAAAGGTTGTGTGCTAACAGTCCTGGAGTCTGAGCTGCAGTATTTGGTCTTGCTTTTCTGCGTTACTACTGACTGCTAATATGACTTATTCCTGC